CTGCTTCATCTCCACACTACTTGCCAAACCAAAATTAGAAAGGACACCAATGAGTAAAATTCATGACATCTATAGTTCGCCGATTGACCATTTGACACACCTAAAGTGAATGACAAAGTAAATCTAGCAATGATAATTTAAGATGACAACGACTACATATGAGGAATAGAAATCAGACAACATGTATATACTTCTAGTTTAGTGAAGACTAAAAAGAGTTGGCATGAAATGGAGAAAAACCAAAGGAGCTATATCCAATGAGTTGATCTAAGAAGGCGGATAAAAAGATACAAACTCAAGTGCAGAGAAATCATGTCAAATTAACAAACAACTGTTGGAAATCGAACAGGAAAAATTAGGTTACCGAATCTGGCTGAGTCGCGGACTAGGTCGCTCTTTTTAAGACGTTCGCGGCACTGCCTCGTATTGCGCACAACAGACTATCAGCCGGTCGTCTCCAGGATAAAACAGTCATTCTAATTTTATTGCTCATCGATTTTGTGCGAAAACCCGGAGCTCTATGAATTCACTCTCTCTCGTGTTTCTGCTCTTCTGAGGTGTGTTTAGAGGGTCTGGGGCGTCTCCTATTTATAGGAGCAGAAAACCCAGAATATTCCCTCTTTCTTTGGGAATAAGTCATATTTTAATTAGGAAGATAATTACTCACATAATTAAAATATAATCTATTAAGATAATTATTCCTAATTATCTCCATAATATTCCTTTTATTAATTATCCATCTTATTTAAGTATTACGGGAAAATACTGGATAATTAATTAGGAATTTCATTTATAGCTTTTCAAAGCTATTCATCCCAACAATCCCCCACTTGAATAGTTTTGAAACTATCTCTAAGCATCAACAGTTCCATAAGATCGGGCATAAGCTAAGGTATCGCGAAGATTTGAACCTTAGCGTAGTGGTTACACTTCCGATTTCATAAGGGTGACTCGTAGTCTGGAACCCTATCTCAGACAATGTATCACACCGGATCTTTTCATTGAGTGATATTCTCTCATAGGCCGTGCGTTTATGGCCATGCACGTTATCTCGGTTTAGTGAACGCTCTAGCAACTTTGTGCCTCCAAAGTTCCATAGGGAGCGGCCTCACTCCCACATTCACATAGGTGAGTCTATCAGAAGTACCCCCAAAGTAAAGTACTTCACTCCACATAGAGTATAGATCTCATTAAGAGTTTAACTCAACCTCCAAGGCTTTGGGATTCATGCTTCACTATGCATGAACTTTTCTCAATATTACTCATGACTTGTTATTACCCATTGAACCCGTTTCTTGGGATCTCCAGTCTATCGGGTCGGGTTACCATCACTTGTAATCCGTGCTTCGGTAGGCATAAGTCTCATACCTTCCGTGGTATTTTGGACTTTTCTCTCTAGGTAATCCTTTCGTCAAAGGATCAGCTAGATTCTGTTAGGATCTTACAGGATCCACCCTCATTGCTCCTATCGTTAGGAGTTCTCTTACAGTACTGTGCTTACGACGAATTTGTCGTCTCTTTTCGTTCTAGAACCGGTTCCCTTCTTTAGTAATAGTTGCGGTGCTATCACAATGAATCAACTACCGGAGGGATCGGTCTTTCCCATAAGGGAATCTGCAGTAATGACCCTCTCAATCAACTTTTCTCTTTACTAGCCATTGCTAGCTCTATCATTTCTGATTTCTTAGTTGATTGAGCCAGGGTCATTTACTTCTTAGATTTCCAAGACACAACACTTCCAGTGATGTTTAAAACATGTCCACTGGATGCCTTGGAGTCTTCTATAGGGTATTCTCGTCCGCATCAATATACCCTACCAATACAGTACAAAACCGTTGATAACTTATATCAAGGTCTACTGTTCTCTTAAGGTATCTCATGACCCCTTTCAATAGCATTTCAATGCTTCATACTAGGACAATCAATAATCCTGCCAAGTACCCCCCCCCCCCCCACTAAATCGGGTATCATGTTTATCAGCTACCTCCTGCAGACTGTAAATGCTAGTATATTCTAACTTTCTTACACCGTCTTAGGTGTTCTTTAAATATTTATACGAGCATCATCAAACACGTATGCAGGTGTAGATCTTGTATTTTCCTAGTTATTAGGATCTCTAAGCATAACATTTGTTTCATTCAGATCCTTCACAATAAAAATTCTCAACCATCATGGTTTTTCAATATTGGCATTATGAGTCTTTGTACCAAAGATCGACGTGTCATTCATAATGCAAGTGTCATTCTCAATTTTGTACTAAATGCACTTGTCACTTTCACTTTTAAAACCATGAGAGAGAACTAGTTTATTCATGCCATCGTCTTAGAGTCTATTTCAAATCTTGCAATGATTTGTCTAACTATAGACTCCCTAAGCATGTTCAAGAATAACAACCCTATAGGTTGTCCCATATAGATTTTCCTATCTAAATCACCATTCACAGAAACATGTTTAACAATCCATCTGACGCACAACACTAGCAATCAGAACATACATGGATGTTATTCTACATATGGTGAATAGATAACTGGAAAATTTACAATTTTTCCTTTTCGCTTAAAGCCTTAGCTATTCGGCGATCCTTATACTCATAAACTAAACCAATAGATTTCACTTTTTTTTTTTAAGAATCCATTTATTACCCATGACTTCATTGCCAAGAAGTAATTCTCAAAGATGCCAAATCTTGTTCGATTCTATCGATATATTGCCCAAGGCTTTTCAACCAAGAGGTAACTCTACAAGATTTTAAGTCTTATTAGACTCCAATAATTCCATTTCGTTAATAATGGATTCTCCCACAATTCTGCATCTTTATGGAAGTTCGAACTTCTAGCAGACTTGTAGGATCTTTCTTTCTTAGGGTGTAAATAAAAAATTCATAACCAAAATCCTTTCGTGATTTATGGTTCATTTGTCTCTCCTGAGTTCAAACTCAGATTCATCACCCCCACTAGTTATCCATTATTTCTAATACTAGGCAACATATCACCCCCACTATTTCTTAATATAAATGGAATCTATTGGCATCAATGGTTTTCACAAACTAATGAGTATTTCGTTTTTTTTAAACTTATGTGTTCTATTATTGATAGCACAATCAATAAATCACACTCATGCTCATCTATATTGCACTGATTCTCAAACTATACCATATGAAAACGCATAACGTTTTACATCAAAAGCATGTCAAAAGCATCACATCGTTAATTAGTGCAATCAATAATAATGTGATAAAGCATTTCACATTATTCTCGTTTACCCATTTCAAAATGAATCAAATCCAAAGATTCTCTAATCACATATTTAAGAGTTATTTCACTTTATCATTATATGCATACTCTCATGACCATTATAATAGTGGAGTGAGCAATACTCAACAGCAGTTTCTTAATAGCATATGGCTTACTATGCTTCGAGGTACCAGTATTCAGCCACTATTCTTCAGAGTTACCAGCATGGTTAATCTCTGCTCTTTTGTCAATCATCACAGCCACCAATTCTTCTCTTCGATCAAGTTAACACTAGAACCAGTGTTATACTTGTTCCTACACTTTCGTATCATATTACCTAATTTCTCGCAACTATTGCAGAGAAATAAAGCGTCATTCTTAGAGGATTGGCCGATGATCCTTTAGTTACTACGAATGGTACCATTTTAATTGGTGTGGATCTGATTCGGTTTGCTATGCCGATTCTTGAATCTTATTAGGGTTTGGAAACGTACAAATGGTTCTCATAGTACTGACAAGCAGTACTTCTAATAAATATGGACATATAACCCATTCCACTAGCATATTTACTACCGAATATACATTCATATATGCTTCAGAGTATGCATTCATATCATCAAAATTACTCTACTTTATAACATGTACACAAAATTGTACTCTAATCATCAGGAAGCCACATCTCAATGTCAATATGATCATGCATCAATTATCGATCTCTGTAGCATTCTCAAGATATCTCAATTTCATGCATAACGATATATGAAATAGATTCTACTTTATCATTCATTAGTGACTCACAGATAAAATTTAAGTTCTTACCTCTTTTCAAGAAGTCATTCCCGATTTTGTGGCTCATAGCTTGCACAACGCATAGCTTCTCTGTTTCTCAGCTTCCAAACAATTATCGAGCCACATAACAGGAGCAGCAGATGCTGCTAGTTCGAGCTCCTTAGGAGAGACTAAAACACCACCACGGCAATTCTGTAGTTCATCAGAAACAAAGCCCACACTTGTTCATAACAATCCAATTTCCTTTTCTCATGCTTCGGACTGGGCTTAAAAGGACCTGAATTCCTATTTAACGCCCTAACTTTTTAAATTTGTCGCCCTAAATCCTAATAAAAATACCCTTTTGCCCCTTGACCCCGCCCTCCCATTCCGCATCCTCGAACTCCATACGCGGAGCAGAAGAATCCACCGGCAACCACCATCCATTTCCCCAAACTCCATAGCCGCCGCCGGCAACAACCAATCCATTTCCATTTCTCTTTGTGTTCGTCTCCATCAAATCCTTTCACGAAACAAAATTAAAAAAAGAAAGGGGAAAAAGGAAGCAGAAGGAGATGCAGAGAGGGAGCTCGCTCCCGCTGGATGCCGCCTGCCATATTTTCTGGGCTAACGACACAGACGGGTTGAATTCCCGTTTGAAATGAGGCTAGTACAGGTGTGAGGGGTGGAAGGAACGCGTGCTATGCCCGTGTGTACTGCTCGCCGTACGGGTTGTAATCCCGTCGCCGGCGATGGCGAGACAGGTCGTTGCCCCGTCCCAACCTCGCCGAAGACGGATTTTCAACCCCTCCGACGAATGAACCCAGAATCTGACAGGACAGCAACACTTATCTTCTTCCTTCTTCTGAGGACGATTGGGCGATGGGATTTCTTCTTCGTCTTCATCCTTCTTCCTCCTCAAGGTTGGCAGAATCCAATAGTAGCGGCAAAGGTTGAATTGCAGAGGAGTGGGGAAGAATCGATCGATTCAAGGAGAAGGGTAAAAGTGTATTTTTAATAGGTTTTAGGGCGATTTTTTAAAAATTTTAGGGCATCAAATAGTAACTCTCAAAAGGACCAGACCCAAATTGCACTTTACTTGAGCTAGAGGATGATGACAATGCCTCTTGAGAATTGGAATTAAACCAATCCCTCATGACCGCCAGCAACTAATGGAGCAACCTTTTTCCTTGTACGCAAGCCCGCGATAGTCAAGAGTATTGGCCCAAGGTTTGTCATTTAATCATCACTAGATCCATCAAAATTAGCGGCCCAAAGCTAGTTGGCAACCTAGCTTCATTCTGCACGGCTGGTCTTCTAGGGATGCAACCGAAGTCCGAGGCTGGCACTTCCGGCCAACGAAAGTTCTCGTCCCCGACAGCAGAGACAACCCAACCTTCAAGCTCCCCTTAATCTCGGCGAGATCCTTGCGCACCCCGGCCAAACCTTGTGGAGCAGGCGGCGAAGGAGAAGATTCCGCCACGGTAGTCGGCGATTGCGGCGGCAGCAGCGGTGGAGCAAGAGAATCCTCAGCACCACCGCTCAACTGACGGCCGATGACAACTGGGACGGCTTTAAATCCGACGGATTGAAGCGCTTTCAGCCAGCGGTTGCAGCTCCGACTCCGATTCCGAAGAAGGATGACCGTCATCTGATTGCAGCAGCTTGGAGAGGCAAGACATGGCTTCCAGTTTTCCTAGCTTCGCTTGCTTCTTTGGTTCCTTTCTGGGAAGGATTAATTGGGTGACCGCATTCCCAGTTCTTCTACCCACACCCGGAACACGTTTTCCTTTGATCATGATTCCAAGAATCAAAAGATTTTCCACCGCTTCTCAATCCTGAGTTTCTTGGTTGCGACGGCTGAAGCTTGTGTCGAGCGACGGAGTTGGGGTTTGAAGCCCGATACGATAATTGAATCTAATCTGTTCGGTATTTGAGAACCTCAATACGATAATTAATGTAGGTAATGAATGAATACATTACCTACATTGGAACCTCAATAAGCTATGATCTGAACCCACCAACACAACAACTATAACAAGCCGGTGCACATATATATATACACGTTGCAACAGTCCACAAGAAGAAGAAAAAAGGAATGCAACAACTATTTAAGTTGATAGGAGGAAGATAGAAATATGACAGTAGACAAAAGAGGTGGAAGTGGTGGGAAAAAGGTATTAGTAGTGTCCCACGAGGGAGATGTGCAATAAATCTTGAAGTCCCTTGAGGGAAGAACTTGATAGCTAAGGAGCTATAGGAGACGATCAGGAAAGCAAAAAGAAGTAAAAACTTAGAAGCAAGAATTCCAAAAGAAACATTAACATAAACGTGCATATGAACCTTCAAAAGCAAATATCAAAGGAGCCAATTAGAGTACAGAAATCAAAGGACTGTGCAGACTTAATTCACAAAATGGAAAAATAAATAGACATTGGTGAATCAGATGAGGAACCAACAATTAGAGTGCTTGTTTCGCCACCATATATGCATGTGATAACAATGTATTTGCAAAGGTTTGCACCATTATTTCTTATCTGTTTGCGACTCCTAGTTGTGCATCTTTGCTTATTTTACGTTGGGTTGTACTATTTTGTCACATTTCAGGTTCCAATCATCGAAGGAAGGCTAGGCGCAAGTTTCAAGTCAACCAGATATCAATTGGCGATTTGGGAGAAGAAACTCGGGCATGACCTGAAGAAGAATGGATTTCTACCTCATTTATGGACAAAGAATCATGCAAGCTTGTCATGAAAAGAAAGAGGACGAGACTAGGAGAGTCTGCAATCAAACGGCGACTGATTCAGAGTCCGCACGAAGGAGAAACAAAGCATTGAATACAGGGGAACAAGTTCGGCAGTAAAAACACGGGCAGACTACCCTAAAAACACATTCGTGTTTCATCTGGCCCCCACTAGTGTTTTTACTGCCGCAGACGTGTCTGCCATACTTGAGGCTAAAAATGGGCAGGCAGAAGCAAAACACGGTCGTGTCCTCGACCGTGTTTTGCCCAGTTTTAGGCAGATTCGAGCCAAAGGAAAGGGGGAGATGACTTTTTGAGCAGAAAACAGAGTTTTAGAGAGAGAAAGTGCGAAGAACAAACCCTAGGAGCTATTTGGAGTTGATTTCTCATCATTGAAACCCATATTGCATACTCAGGAGTGAAGATCGACATCCCAGAGTAGATTATCCCCATCTTTATGAGTATGACTGCTCTGATTTCTGTTTTCCTCGCTCTCTTTCTCTCTATGGAGTAGAACCCTAGTTCCATGTGTTAGGAATCTTGATTTTAATGACGTTTGGATTGATATACTACTTGATTATAATCGATTGATGCATGATTCATTGAGTCAATTAAAGCCTGATCAACTTTTCTTGATTTCTGCTGCAACCTGAGATAGATAGAATTTGATTAGGTTGTTAGAGCTTCATCAATCGGTAGTAGTGAATTGGTTATACGAGAGTTAATTGATTTACTGCTTTGTACTGGAATCCAATTCTAGTAGTGGAGTTCTGTGTTTATTGCCTCAGCAGTCTATCCCAGTGAAGGCTAGTTGCCTGCCGGTTAGTCTGTCTGAGAGGGCTTGGTCAGCTTAAGAGATTCCAAGCTACTGTCGGATCTTCCACAGTTTAATCAACTGTAAATCAACCAAAGGTAATTACAACTTTGACCTAACTAAGGAGCTAGGGGGACTCATTCCCGAGTGACTCTTCCCCTGCTTAAAAACTTCGAACCATTTCCTCTGTCTTACTGCTTTTGCTTAAAATCACAATCACTCAACTTAGTATGCTAGATCTACTATACTAGTATACTTATAATACGTTGAAGGAACAGCTTCCCCATTTCAAAATTCCTGCATCCAAAGCGTTTCTCGGAGGGGTAGTTTTGGAAACGGAAAAATTGACTCGGCTTCCTATTGTGATGTTCAACGGGCCTGCTGTTTTTTTTTTTGTGTGGTCAGTCGGAGCATCGCTCTCCCCGTTCAGTGTCTTCACCGCCGAAATCAGTAAGCACTCTCTCCTTCCCTCTTTCTGTTTCCTTCCCGCATCTCAAAGAACCGCTACTCTACACCACCACCAACGCAACTCTACACCACCAACCTCCTCCACTCCCATCGAAGAACCGGTACTTGGCCGAATCAGCCTCTACTCTCGGCCGCATCTATCTCTGCACAACCCTAATCCCCTTGTCGCCTTAACATTGACCTCGTCCCAAATATCCGCTGGCGACAAAACTGTCTGGCCCAGTCGAGACGCTTCCATCTGTCGCTTGAGTACCGCCCAATCGGGGTAGCTAGTGAAGTTTACGATTTATCTTCAAGGCCACAATTGGTGAGTCTGTTGGGGGAGGTGGTAACTTCCACTTACGTGCAAGCGGTCAGCGATCCAGCCTCATTCCTTAATCAGAGCCAGTGTCCTACATCCCCGTCAACCCTCGCCAGTGGGTATTCCCTCCGCACCTGAGATTCCAAGTAAGGTTTCATTTCCCAATTTCATCTTTTGTTTAGGTCCCGCAGGGTGCAGCGGAATAGTGGCCGGAGTTAGGGATTGTGCTCCATTTTTAGGGATACATTGGGATATAAACCCAGTTGGGGAAATCCGGTTTTCATTGACAATGACTTACCTCGCAGTTTAGTCCCCTTTCATGTTTAGCATGTATGAAACTATTCTCTGCGTTGTTAGAGGTCATGAAAATCGTTTCCCAAATTCGGGTTCTCTATTTACCGCAAACCTTCTCCTCACGCTGCCACATACTATATTGCTAGAACTAGTAGCTATCATATTCATCTACTCAATCTCAAAGTGGACAATGCAAATCCTAAAATTCTAAGTGGGCATGGCATAATCCCTTTGTTGGTTCATTAGTTTGCTTTCAGTAAGCTTTGCTTATTCTAGGTGTTTGGGCCATCCATTTACCGATCCCATAATTTTTGCTTCTCCTATTACACTGTTTCATTGTCACTGCTAGCTTGCTTTGCAACCTACTTTCTCTGTTGTTGCTATCAGAATGACCACTACGAATCAATTTCATGTTGAATAGAATATAATTATGAATCCAACCAAAATTAGCCAACCAGATTTGATATATGTCAGACAGGTTTTAATTATGTTTACATGATTGAGTACTATCTTTACGTTGAGTGCTTCGATGTTTGATTTCTGCATTTGTATCTGATCTGGATATGAGATCCTGTCATGCAGGGAGGGAGACAAACAAGTAAATTGCTTGATCTTGTGCTTCCTAATCGGAGTTAACAAAGGTCAGAAGCGGTATCTAGAGGCACAATTGAGTGGCTGGCAGGGGCATTGAATCGGAGTTAACAAATCGGTACACAAAAGCAATTAAATCCGTAGTGTTGTGATTGCTTGGTATTTTATAGATGATTATTCTTTTCATATACGAGTCTGGTGCATTTAGTAGATCAACTAAACCACTTTCTAAAAGCAAGTGCAGGTACTTGCTCATATTTGCAAGTGCTTGATCAAAATTGGTGCTCAAAACTTATATGCTTGCTCATATTTGCTTGATCTTTTCATGTATGAGACTGCAACTGATATATTCCAGCTAACAACCTATTACGTTACGCCAATGTCCATTACCCGCGTACCATTCAGATGTGAGTTTTCTGATACCTCTTCGCTTAGCAACTCAGCCCCCAAAATACAGATTCTCAAGGGCTTTGGTTTCTCTGATTCATATACTTCAGTTCCAATTATCTCATTTTTGGTTCTTGGATAGTTGGATTGGTGCTTTTCATAGTAGGTTAGGAGTCTAGCTCCCACAATCATACTTCTTTGTCTCGTTCTTCTGCCTTGCTCTCCCTCTTTAGATTACCTACCAAACTTCCCTAATCATTGGTTATTCTTATTTGTTCTTCAATTTCTTTTCTTATTTCCTTCCCCTGTTCCTCTAGCTCTATTTCCATCCCATTCAATAGAAATTGCTATCATTGCAAGCGTTCTTAACTACATCCCTAGACAACTATCCTACTCACGGCAGAAAATATAGTTACCACATGGTTACTGAATTCCCTGTGCTTTTTACATACTATTTAGTTGAGATCAACTTCTGTATATTATGTCCTCCATTTACTTTGACTCACAACTTGAGAACGAATGTGCCTACTATGACTCATTTCCTTATACTTTCAAATCTCTTATCTTTATGCGCTATGTTTGTTAGTGCCCCGATCTGGGTATGTCAATGGACTCTGTGGTTTGTTTTGGTTGTGTGATATGGAAGACTGAGGGGAGATGTTGAAGGTAGTGGAGGAATTGGGAGTATAAATAGAGAATAAGAACAGAGGAGGATGGCAGAGTGGGAACTTGGGGAGGAGTTTGGATGCTTGAACTTAAGTTTGTGGTAGCTGACTTACTTGCCCTGTACTGAAACTGAAATATATTTGGATCGATTACATTGCCCCATGGGAGCTTTTAATTTTGTTGTAGCTTGCCGCCTTCTTTGTTCAGAAGAGAAGGATCCAGGATGTAGTTGATTTTTTTTTTGTCAAATTGTATTTGAATCAGGGTGCTATCAATTCATGGGCCCTTTCATATGCAATTTAGTTTTATGATCCCAGTTTAATCTCCCTAGGTTCTATAGTTTATGATATCGCAACTTGCAGGTTACACCATGTGGGGCCTACATGCCCAGTCTTGGAGTTAGGAAGAAACCACACATGAATCAATCCCAGCCAGCGTCTCATTTGACTTTAAATTTCATTTTATCACCTTCACAAGCGTAGAGTGTATACGAAAAGTGCTCAAATTCACCATAACTAATATATGTACAAATAACTGCATTTTCAGATAGTGAATAATTGCATTCATTTCTGCTACTATGTGTACTTGGAGTGGGTCATCCTGGTCAA